TTGGACACATAAAAGTTGCACACCATAAAGTTGAAGACGGTGCAAATGGACACCGTTCTTTTGAAAAGTTGCAGATTATAATGTTGAACACGGCGCAAGTAGACACCGCTCATTTGCACACGGTAAAAGTTGCACGCCAAAAGTTGGACACTGCTCAAGTGGATACCGTTCATGATTTAAAAAGTGATAATTTTACAGGATCGTGTATTTTAAAGCAGAAAATATATTTAATTATGAGAGAATATATGTATTTTAAAGCAGAGAATATATTCCTTTTTTACTGTGTGCAAATGAACGGTGTCCACCTGCCCCGTGTCCAAGTTTACAGTGTCCACTTACACCGTGTCCAACATTATGGTCTGCAACTTTTCAAAGGAACGGCGTCCATTTGCGCCGTGTTCAACTTTACGGGGTGCAACTTTTATGTATCCAAAATTTCTGTATCCAAATGAACCGTGTGCAATATTCCGTGTCCACTTGCATCGTGTCCATTTGTACAGTGTCCACTTGTACTGTGTCCAAGTGAGCCTCTCCCCCCATTTTCCTGTCTTCTGGATCTTTCCCATGGCATACAGACGATCAGAAATGGTTTGTCGATCAATTCTTAACTTTTCTGCCAGTTGTTGTTGAGTTTGTGCAGCGTCTTCATCCAACAATGCTTGCAATTCAGCATCTTCTAATTTTGTTGGTTGATCTGGGCATTCTTTGTCTTTCAAGTAGAAATCTCCACTTTTTAATTGTTTAAACCAATACACACAAGTATCTTGCGTTGGGAAGTTGTCATCCTACGTTTGTACAAGTATACGACGGGCTTTCAATTGCGTTTTTCTTTTGAGTGAACAAGAAAAGGAGTACGTGCCGCAAATGCTTTATATTTGACTCAAAACTCGACATGTTTACCACAATGAAAAAACATGATGCTAACTCGTAAACGTTTAAACAACTATGGCGTTTTCAAGGTTGCTGTCATAGCAACAAAATAGCATATCAGTTAATACTGTGAACTACCCATTTTTTCCAGAGCCATCTCTTGAAAAAATTAAAAAGTAATAACCGGCAGATCTGGTATATCTACTTGTGAAATAAAGCTGCAAATTAAAAAAAGATTAACATGATGTAGATACATCTTATTGATTCCCCTTAGGGTTACAAGGCGTTTTTGAAGGAACGTGCCCAAACCTCTTATAACACCTCTCTCTATATCCACTTCTCTATGTGGCGATCGAAAGAAAAACCAACAATGTTTTGTTTGGTTTTGAACCCAGGTCTTCGGATTACCAGACCAGCGCACAATCCTCTGCGCCACGATCGCCACTAAAAAAAGATTAACATAACTATGTTTATATAACGTACTTGTTACTCTCTCCCTCTCTCTCTATCGATACTATTAATATTATTTCAATAAGTAATACCAAAATATCTACAATATTTGTATGCTTGATATTTGTGTTCAATTAAACCATATTAAATATCAAATAAAGAAAGCTTCTGTGATCGAACTTTTACATCCTTACTCCTCCAAGTTAATAAACTTGAATGCAAAATTGCGGATAAAATACAAGATTCACAAAATTATAAACTTGTGTCCATAGATTTCAAGACTAATTATCCAAATTATAAGATTATCCAAAAAAAAGTAAAGTAAAGTAAAGTAAAGTGTGCAAATTAGAAATTTGCACATGCCTTCCTCATAGAGGAAGGTTTAGGAGCGAAATCTAATTTTTTTCGATGTTTCTTGAAAGTGTGCGAATTAGAAATTTGCACATTGCTTCCTCATCATTGAAGCGTGCAAATTGGAAATTTGCACATTTCTTCCTCATCATTAAAGTAGGCAAATTAAAAATTGGAACATTGCTTCCATTGTTATGGCTTCCTCATACAGGAAGCTTTAAGAGAGAAATCTAACTTTACTACGATGTTTCTTGAAAGTATTCAAATTATTCTTATTTCACTCTTAAAGCTTCCTCTATCAGGAAGTCATGTGCTTTCTAATTTGCACACTTTACTTTACTTTACTTTTTTCTAATTAGAAATTTGCACATTGCTTCCATTGTTATGGCTTCCTCATAGAGGAAGCTTTAAGAGCGAAATGAGAATAATTTGAATACTTTCAAGAAATATCGTAGTAAAGTTAGATTTCTCTCTTAATGCTTCCTCTATGAGGAAGCCATAACAATGGAAGCAATATGCAAATTTCTAATTTGCCTACTTTAATGATGAGGAAGAAATGTGCAAATTTCCAATTTGCACGCTTCAATGATGAGGAAGCAATGTGCAAATTTCTAATTCGCACACTTTCAAGAAACATCGAAAAAAATTAGATTTCGCTCCTAAACCTTCCTCTATGAGGAAGCCATGTGCAAATTTCTAATTTGCACACTTTACTTTACTTTACTTTACTTTTTTTAATTATATATTATAATATATTGTTCTTCAGTTTTTTCAATCCAAATTTCATATATACCATAATTCATTAAAATATGATTAATTAGTTCTTGAGTTATAGACATTTGAAATTTTGGGAAATCAGCATTAAAGAAAATTTGCGATAGTTACAGCAACCACAAGCATTTCTAAAAAAAAATTAAAAATTAAAAACTTTTTACCGGTCATCGCCATATTCAAGAGGTATGCCTCTACCTATGTGTATTGAAACTTTTTGCTTCTACAAGTGTGTACATTTCTTCATTACATTGTGTACCATCACTTCTGAAACACCCTGTATAATGAAAAAGAGGAGCCTCTACCTATGTTTATTAGGACTTTTTGCTTATACTAATGTATACATTTCACCATTACATTTTGTAGCATCACTTTTGAAACACCCAGTATAATGTAAGTGTTCATGTACGGATTCCGTGAAATGTCAAACATTTATAACTCAAAAACTAATCAACCGAATATTAATCAATTATATATGAAATAGGGGTAGAAAAGACTGGAAAGAATAATAGAATTAGAAATAGCCCGATATCTAAAAATTTGCAAAAGTTAGAGCAACCACAGACATTTCTCAAAAAATTCAAGATTTGTTCAAAAAGAAACCCATTTACCGATCATCGCAAAAATCAATACCAACCTTCCTTTAGTGATTCTCTACATTTAAAAAAAATTAGGCTCGATATCTCAAAATTTACGGAAGTTAGAGCAACCACAGACATTCAAATGCGTACATACACACACACACACACACACACACGCACACGCACACGCACACGCACACGCACACGCACACGCACACGCACACGCACACGCACACACACACGCCCACGCACACGCACACGCACACGCACACGCACACGCTCACGCACACGCACACGCTCACGCACACACACACGCACACACACACACACACACATACGGACATTTTGTAAAAATATGATTTTTAGACGTTTTAAAACATTTTAAATATTGCCAAAGAAAACTGGAAAAAAATTTCTTCACGAAAACAAAACTTCCTCTATGAGGAAGCAAAAATCAGATCTCCGTTACAAGGTTTATAAGTTTTGCTATCTTTTTGATCTGGAATAAATTATTATTATTGTTGCAGCGTTGGGCACCCCTACGGAACAGCCGTCAAGTCACTATACCAACCCTGTTGAAAATACCGATTAAAACCGATTGAAAATTTTGAATCCGCATGAATCTGGATTCTTGATGCGGAAAATACCGATTGACGCAAATAGGGTCAGATTTGAATCATGTTCAATCAGGAATGTTCAGATAGATTTTGATCCGCGTCTATCGGTTTCAATCCGTGATAAAAGTTCGCCGATTGGAACCGACTGGTCTGGATTCAAGTCAATCCGGAAAAGTTGTATTAAAAACAATAGACAATTCAGATACAAATTCGCCGATTGGAACCGATTGGCGCGGATTCAAGTCAATCCGGAAAAATTGTATTAAAAACGATTGACAGACTTCGTCAAAAAATCCGATTGAAACCGATTGTTATTGCTTCAATTCTATCTGGAAATACCGGATTGAATCCGATTGATCTTGCATTTCTACCAATCCGGTGCCCGATTGGCCCGATAACCCCTTTTAGGAACAAGGAAACCTTCATGTATATCGCAACCGAGCACTGTTGTCACGCCTAGGAAGAGACCTCCAGTACAGGGAAGGATGGAAACGTCGGAAGCAGCTATATCAACGGAGACAGCAGCAGCAGCTTTCGAAGGAGAGAAGTACGTCAGAACAGCGACATCGGCTGAGGAGTCAGCACCGGCAGGAGCGACAAATCATCAACAGCAGAGCCTGATCACCCAGGAGCAGCTATCGCAGAGAAAACGAGCAACCGGGAAACATCGCCCTCAACCTTTTTACCGAACGGCCTAGTATTCCCGAACAGACCCTGTATCCTTAGCAATATGCAACTGCAGCTACCATGCAGGGTTTGCCATCAATATACGGATTGGCGCCTAATTCTGCTAAGCCTGTTGCCTGGGATCTCAGCGTATACAGATTTACAAACCCGCGCTACATCCAGGCCTGTCCGTTCTCCTCAGTATCACCACTGCCTTCATCACTGCCGCGAATATTTCAGTTCTGCCACACACCGACCAAGAATCCTGTCATTCAACACTAGGCAACCCAGACTCCGGGGTAGACCATCTCAAAGGAGAATGGATCACAGTCTGAGGAGCTGTACGGGCCGATCTTGGTTATGCTCACGGCTGCGCACATTTTATACCGGGAGCGTAACCTAAATTATAGACGCCAATAAAAGGCATTTTTGAATTTGCCATGCCGCAAACCAAATAATTAAATACAAATATAATCTACTGTATTGTGTACCCCTAGACATACACACATTCTGTATACATTTTACATAGAAAAGAAAACAAATAAACACCGCTTTGTTTTATAACTCCTAAGTGCCATCATTTAAAGACCTGCCACTCGCTGCAAGTTATTTTTTTTTTCATACAATTGAGTCCAGATCCCCTGTAAAGCATTTAAATGTATTAACTAAAAAACGAACACAATTATAACTTGTATCAATCCATGACAATATTCTATTTAACATAAGTTTAACTGTACACATTCATATTTTTTTAAGTATACATTATAAATTTTATTAGACAGAAAAATACATGAACAGTGTTAAAGTACATTATAATAAAGTTTTTTGATTAAATATGTATTGAATTTGATAATGAACTTTTTAATTGTATTCTTGGCACCACTTATACGCATTATCGAAAAGTCGTTGCCATGGTGAAGCTTTGTAGTTCCATTCTAATGGTTTCCAAGGCCATTGCCACATTTGAGTACACCTTTCTGGATGTGGCATCATTGCTAAGTGTCGTCCATTTTTAGAACAAATAGCAGCAATGCCATTTATACTACCATTAGGATTCATAGGATAACATTCAGTCGGATTGCCATAATCGTCTGTGTACCTGTTATAAATATAAAATATTCTTAATGTATTTTACTTTTATCAAGATGTGTCTTATTAATTCTACTCATATTGATAAATAAAAGTTGTATAAATGCTAAATGCTAATATATTATTTATGCACGTAATATATTCTATTCTGCATACACATATACACACACACGTGAACACGCTCGCTCGCATGCGCGCACGCCGCCGGATTTAGCAGGTCAAAGACATGTCGGAATATCACATGTTTGAGACAGAAAGGATCTTTGATCTTTTCTGTCAAAGATCCACAGAGAGTGAACTTACTAGTTATACTACGCCCAAAGTATATTTTGTGAAGGTTACATGGATTTACACCTTTGTTGTGTATGATCATTTAGCATCTATACTTCAAATTCAACTAATATTTTAAATAATATTCCTTTTTCTCCTTCAGAACCAAACAATGTTTATCTAACAAGAGGAGGACCAGGTAGTGCAGTCACCGATTTTCACGAACTTTATAATATGTGTAGTATCAATCCCAAACTATTGTACTTCATGTACATGTGACACAGTGCAGTATTCACGTATATGCGAAAAATTTGCATTGAAAAATTTTCGTGTACGTTTATACGAGTATGTAAGGATAAGTCCCGGTGGGTCTCTCAGAAGAGAGGGGATGGAGAGGAAAAAGGATGGTCGGTTGGCGTTTTCGAGAAGGGCCGAGATAATAATAATCGAATCGAATAAAGCACTTGTTAACTCACAATTATGGACTTTACTGTATAAGTAATCTGCTTACACAATTACAACTGAAAGGCTCTCGAGATATTACCGCGCGCTATCTTTTCACAAAGGAGAGTGCTCCGGTATTCGCGATCTCGGAGCATGTGCGCTTGCTCCGCGTTTTCGCATCTGTGCGTTATCAAGATCCCCGCCCGCGGCGCATCTCTCACCAGATTCTTACAAGTAGGTATATGAGCAAGGTTTGCAAATGGCAAGCACAGGCTAGCGGATAAGGCAACGCACTAGAACTCTGTATTTTGCAGGTTTAAATCCTACATTTCCCAACTTTTATTAAGTAAATTTTTATAAACTTTGCATTAAAGTAAATGATTAGGCAATGTGAAGCTGTTGAATCAAAAAATTAGTGTTTTTATTATTAAATTTAATATTGTATATTAACATGAAAGTTTTACGTATTTTTGTCTGCAACTATACAAATATCAAAATTCGATTGATATCGATAATTAATTTTAATAAAATTGTATAATCACATTTACAATTATTTTGCTGTATTTTTATATTTATTCAGAATCTTCTTCAGAAAGTTTATATATATTTGGATAATAATCATCAAAGACACAAACCATGCATACCGTATAATGAGAGCAAAAACAGGAGCGCTTAATTGGTGCAATATTAAACAATGAATCTTTATTGCATCATCTCGAGTCTTTTTGCGTCTAAATTAAATACCGAAAGATATATTTTTTTAAATGTTAATGACATCTGCTTTTCTCTAACAATTTTAAAGAAACCGTGCAGTTGTCAATTAAAAGATGTAAGCTTTATACAATATGTTTGATATAAATCGATATTATGTTTTAAATGTTTCTTTGAAGATTATCATCCACAAATATGTAGATTTTCTGAAGAAGATTCCGAATAAATATAAAAATAAAGCAAAATTATTGTAAATGTGATTATGGAGTTTTTTATTAATTATCGATATCAATCAATAAAGTGGTAAATTATATATCGCCAGTAATTTAAAAACAAATTTTCATAAGATTCGGCGACCTACACTGGCTAATGTTTTTATAAAAACGAATTTACAACGTTTCGGCCCTGGATTTGGGCCCTTTTCAAGTATTCTTAGTGAATCACTGCGTCATAATTCAGTCGTTTGGCCAATACCATTACCCTGTGACAAAATATTGGTCAATTTGATTTCCTGTTCTATCAATCAAATATTTTTTTATATTCATATTTTGATATTCATATAGTTGCAAACAAAAATACGTAAAATACGTGAATATACAATGTTAAATTTAATAATAAAAACACTAATTTTTTGATTCAACGGCTCTACATTGCCTCATCATTTAATTTAATGCACATTTTGTAACAATTTACTTTAAAAAAAGTTGGGAAAAAGTAGGATTTGAACCTGCAACATACAGAGTTCTAGTCCGTTGCCTTATCCGCTAGGCTGCGCTTGCCATCTGCTGACGGTACCTCGCTCACATATTTGTATAAACGTATGTACATACACGAAAAATTTTCAATACGAATACGTGAATACTGCACCGTATCACGTGCACATGAAGTAGTTGGGGATTGATACTACAACATATACATATAAAGTTCGAGAAAATTGGTGACTTTACTACCTGGTCCACCCTTTGTAACACATTGTTTGCATAACATGTGCTTTCAAAAATAAAAGCTTGTAAAGTTTTATATGCCTCACTCACTATAAGCTTCTATCTATTATACAGGGAAGAAAAAGTATTAAACTGGTAAAACTTTCGACATCAAAGCAACATCAAAAATTTTACATACAAAAGTTGCAGGGTTTAAAAAAATTTAGTTACTAGTATTATCAGTTTCACCTGATGTAGAAGGAGCACCGCCTAGGTTAGGACAAAGTCAAATTTTTTTTTATCAACTCTTATTTTTTACTACATCATCTTTTTCTATTACTTAATTTGAACACTTAATTTGGACTTATTTTAATATTCTTCACAATAAATTTAAAATATGAAATATTTAGACACTAACACCCTGTCACGGCTCTTAATCCTTTATTACTTCAAATTTATATTTATTTAAGAATATTGATTTAGAAATTTTAACTTTAAAAACAAATACTTCGATAAAGAAGCGTTATAAAAAAAATTTTATAGGAACTTATAGGGTCATTTTTCCCTACTCAACAAGTCCACAAGAGATTGCCAGCCTTTACCAAAACACCCTATATATTATTTTTAAATATTTTCTTAAGAAATTATACTTGAGATAATTAATTTACTAAGAGACAAATTAAGATTTTATACTTATTATATAAAATTTTTTCTTCACATTACTTCCACAAAAATATTAGTACAAAAATCATTTGTTTGTTTGAAATATATATTAAAAACATATTTAAAAATATGAGAACATACCTGATTGGTAAACAGTTATTCCGCTCAAGAGTTTTCAAAACTTCTTCTCGAAAAGTAAATCTCCCTTCTCCATGAGCTACCCACACACCTAGCACGCTATCCTGCATGCCTTTTAACATGATCGAGGGCGATTTCTCAATTTTAACAGTGGTCCACCTGCACTCAAATCTTTCTGACAGATTATGATCTAAACAAATTCCTGGTTTGTCTTCAGTATCCTCGTCGCCTACCCAGCCTAATAGACTCATCAATTGACAACCATTGCAAACACCCAAACTGAAAGTATTTTCACGAACAACAAATCGTCGTAATTGCTCACGTAAAGATGGATGAAAGAGGAAACTGGCTGCCCATCCCTTAGCAGAACCACAAACATCGGCATAGCTGAAACCGCCGGGAAAGATAACACCTCTAAACAGATCCAAAGTAACTTGGTTTTCTAACAAATCTTGCATTGTAACATCCCAAACATCAAAACCGGCTTCCAACAGCGAAGCTGCCATCTCTCTATCTCCATTAATACCCTCTTCTCTTATGACGGCTACTCTGATACGCTCTGATAAATCCTTTAATATCGAATTAGATCTGACAGGGTCAAAACTCAAACGATAGGCTGGAATAGTTCGTTCCTTTAGCTTAGAAAATTCTTCCAAGGCACAAGTAATGTTTGTTTGATGGCGTTCTAGCTGATAACTAGTTTCTTCCCAAATACTCATCGAATCAATCACTGTAGTGTTCAATACAATGTCATTTCGAACTTTAACAACTATCTTTGAACTCATTCCAAGACCCACAGACTTTCCGATTAAATATATTGGAACTCCATAGCTTTGAAACATTTTTATCGTTTCATCTTGATATTTCTGATCAACTTCCAATATCCAACCAACTTCTTCAGAAAATAAAATATCAATAGCAGATGCAGATTTATGAGTTATATTAACGTTTATTCCTGAGATTCCAGCAAAGCACATTTCTAGAAGACAAGTAATGAGTCCACCATCACTAATGTCATGACCGGCAAAGATCTTTTTATCGGTAATTAGTTGTTGCGTAACATTAAAGGCATTTTTTAAAGCTTGCGGATTTTCGACGTCGGGTACATCATTATCCAATTGACAATAAACCTGAGACAGGGCCGTTCCTCCAAGCCGATTCTTGCCATAAGACAAATCAATAAAGAACAAACAACCTTCTCGTCCCGTAGCAGGTAGTTTAAGGTCCGGAGTGACTATCTGACAAATGTCTGGACATGGTGCATAACAAGATATGACAAGAGTACCGGGTGCCTTGACAATATCCTTGCCTACCCGTGCGGCCATGCTGAGCGAGTCCTTACCACCATCAATTGCGATTCCAAGTTCCTTCATCAGTGAACACATTGCCGAGCAAGCCTTGTAGAGTGCTGCACCTTCGCCTGGAAGTTTTGCTGGCCACATCCAATTGCCACTACACTTGACATCTCGTAATGCAGAAATTCTCGCAAATACCAGATTACTAAGAGCTTCGGCTACTGTCATTCGAGCACCAGCTGTTTCATTCACTAATCCTTTAATTGGTTGTTCGCCAATAGAAGTTGCAATGCCTTTCATGGAAAAATGTGAAACGGCTGTCACAGCAACATCAGCTAGAGGGGTATGTAATGGACCAACACACTGTTGTTGAGCCACTAAGCCGGTCACGCAACGATCTACTTTATTCGTTAGATACCTAGAATGCAAATATCAAATTTTTAGGTTTTCAATATCATGTTCTTGTAGAGATTGAAAAATTAGATTATAAATGTAATAAGACATTTTTTAATACTTTTATTTATTACAAAATTATATAAATAATTGAAAAACAATACCAATATTAATTGCCATAAACTGCTATAAATTTAGAATAAACAAAAGAGGAAATACTATATTGTAAGAAATACTATATTACTATCAAATTTTTTATAAATTTATGTATTTATTAGTATGTCTTATACAGGTACTTAATTTTGTAATTTAAAAATATATTTGTTTTCTCTCCTTCTATTTTAATAAATTTAAAATATTATAGTATTAACCAAAATATTACTTATTTAGTTTTTTAATTATATTGTTATTTC